ATTTATGTGTGTATATTGCATATTTCTATTCTGTTTGAGAAATTTATAGGCTTCATGCTTCACTTACTGCTTAACCACTTTGTTGCTACTTTCCCAGACTAAGAACATATTTTAAAATTAATACAGCAACATAGTCATTTAATAAAAAGTCAAAACTGACATATGATTATTAAACTCATAAAAATATTTCAATCTGCTTCAATGTCTGCTGTAGCACATATTTTGCAGGTATAGGATGCCATGAAGAATCACACCTATATTTAGTTTTCGTATTTCTTTGTCTTCCTACATCTTGAACCTTTCCTTGGCCTTTACTACCTCGATATTTCTTAAAAATTCATTGAATTTTTTTCAGAATGTTTTCCAGGTAAATGTTAGCTTACATATCATATTGTATGTACTGGTGTGATGGCCTTGCCAGTGCACCGTATCGGGAGTTCCTTTACCATTAGTTTATCTCAGTACCACAGCGATGTTATTTTTGATGACTTTGCTACTTTATCATTTATACCCCCGTTCAGGTCTCCACTCTCCATTAATTAACGATTTAATGCTGTAAATTCTGAAAATGTATCAAATTCAGACTTTCTGTGCCATTCACTTGGGCTTTCCTTGGACTGTCACTTCCCAACTTAATCTTCCAAGTCCCCGTTTAGTTTTGCTAAACTTGAATTTCTGAAATTCAAACTTCTCTTAAGAGTCTCCTCACTCTTTAGTGATTATGACCTTATGACCTTATGACCATTATGACCTTATGATTATGGTCTTACTTGGTTGTTTACAGTACCACACACACTACACTAATGCCTCATGATAACCTGTGCAGGAAGGTTTCCTTTGGTCAATTAAGCAAGGGGACCTGTCATTATTACAATACTTTACTATATCTTAGCATATTAGATGTAAAAATTATATAGACAATAAATTCAGAACTTCTTTAATGTGCTTGGGGAAAAAACCCTTTCCTTGTCAGTTCACTGTAAGTAACTTAAGAAAAAGGCAACCAATGAAGTCACCATTCTGTAAAGTACCCTTTAGAAAACATGACATGTAGCTCATTGCTGACAATGTCTTGTTCATGCTTTCTCCCTTTTACCAGCTCAAAGGCTGCTTCTCTGCCTACATTGCTCCTTCTCTTCTGTCAGTCAAACTACTCCTCCTCCTCCTGGGTCACATGCACACTCATGTCTTGTTACTGAACACACAATGCTTCATGTTTGCATGACTGTGTGGTTGGCATGTCTACTGTGATGCCTTCTTCCTGCAGGCCACAGACTCCTGTTTAGGAATTCAGTTCCAATGCTGTTTTCCACTCAATGTCTGTTTTTCTCTCCTTCCCTCTCTTTCTTGTGCAGATTCATGTGTTGTCTTAGTCTGTTGGGACTACTATAACAAAATATCATAGACTGGCAGGCTTATAATCATGGAAATTTAGTCTTCACAATTCTGAAGTTGAAAGCTCAAAGTCGAGACTCCAGGGCTAATAAGGGTCTGCTTCTTTATAGACTGCCAACTTCCCCACTCAGTGACAGATTACCTCTTAGTCTTCCTTTGTAAGAATGATAAAGACTTCACCCCCATAACCTCTTACTCCTCTGGGAGAGAAAATGCCAGCACAAAAGCTTGGGAGGAAATAAGTACTTAGGCAACATTCCATGGTGATTAATAGATTTCATATCTGCTTCTTTCTCCACATGCTAAGTATCTTGAGCTCATGAATTTGGTATACACCTTGTAAATGATATCACAGTTCTTAGAACTTTGTGAGCCCTGATGGTTAAGGAAATGAATAAACACAAACCTGATATTTTCTACCTGCCATTGGAGTGCTGTCTGATGGGTCTGTTGACATCACTTATACCTGGTGATAGTGTCACATTATTGACTCTGAAGGGACTTTCTAATAAGGACATTATATTTACCTAAAAGTGGATTACCTTTCATGTTTCTTTTCACAAACCACTTGGGTGCCTTTGAAATATTTGTTACAAGTGAGGAGAGGGAAACAACTTGACTTTTCCAATTGAATAACAACCTAAACCAGTAGGCATCATCCATATTTCCTTCTCAGAAACTTTGTAAGATTCACAAGTAAAGAGGGCATGTTCACCAGGTGTGGCACACACCTTTAATCCCAGCACTCAGGCGGCAGAGACAGGCAGGTTTCTATGAGTTCATGGTCAGCCTAGTCTATATAGCAAGTTTCAGGACAGCCCTGGCTATACAGAGAAACCCTGTCTTGAAAAGCAAAAACAAAATAAACGGACAAAAAATAATAAAGAGGGAATGTTCATATTATTGATTGGCAATGAGAAAAAATTATGGCATATGTACATTCTTCATTTCTGGAACACTAGTAATTCTCTATAATTTGGTAGATTATGCCACTTTGTTGAACTTATCTTGTAGAGAAACTTTTAATCCTATAGCCAAAAATTTTCTGTTTTCTTCTTCATTCAAAATGCCTTCATTATATAATTTTAAATTTTCAGATATGTTAGTATTCATTAAATTCAAAAGGGAAAAATAACATCTGAATAGCACCATCTATCTGTTTCCTATGAAATAAAATATTCAAATGGGATACGCAAGTGTGTGTTATTGATCAGCAAACCCTTATTTTCAGCTTTGGGTAAACCTGTAAGGAACATGGTGTAGGTGACGTTCTCACATCTGTCTGTGATTTTTCTAAACAGCCCTTACCTTGTAAGAATCTTAGCTTTTTGCAGTTGAAGCAGTGATTCATTTGACCTTTAGATTTGTTCAAGAGAATTGGCCAAAAGCTTTGTCTATGGTACCTATGTGTTCTCACGGCACATCTTCCCACTTCAATTGACCGCTGAACTATTTCTGTTGCCTCTGTCAGAAAGCTAGGTCATCCAAAGGGGTCAAAAATTGGCTATTTCCTAGTTAGTAACCTCAGAACATTAGATTAGCAGCTCAACTCCTGTCCCTGTCTCCAGACAATGTTTGAGGAATGAACTTTTCCACAGCATAGATTTTTTTTTTTTTTATGTTGCCCTCTACTCTTGAAAATTTCTTTGAAATCAACTGTTGAGCTAAACTTTAGACTTGTCATTTACTTAAAAGCATCCATGTAGATTATGGCACAGGACTAGGGTGTATCATTGTCAACTGTGATTCATAAGAAAACCCCTTTTACTGACTGCCAACAGCTCAAGAGCTTGACATACCAAGGTCTGAGGGATCACAGATCCAGAGTGAGCTGGCAGGAATACAGTGTGCATTCCAGGTTGTCGAAAAAGCACAGTTTACAGTTACAAGGCAAGGAGTAGCTGTTGTTACCAAAGAACAGTTGGGTTGGGAAGGTTGATAAATATGCGATAAAAGCATTCCCAAATGCCACTCCAGTCTGTGTGTGTGTGTGTGTGTGTGTGTGTGTGTGTGTGTGTGTGTGCGCGCGCGCGCACGCGTGCCTTTCCTTCTCATTCCCTTTCTTTCTTTCATTGTCTTCCTTTCTCTTTCTCTAAAATTTGAGGCATTGTCACTGTTCTGAAACTCCTTATCCACTGTTACGTGGCAAGCCAGTTAAATTCTCTGTGGCACCAAACTGCTGACCCAACACTCCAATCAAATCATAGTTGAATTTAGGATACTGAAGCGTGTGGTGGCTTGAATCAGCATTACCATACAAGGCAGCTTTGAATTCCTCATGGTAACCTTTTATTACTGTTTTTAAGTCTCCAAGCACTGCCAAACATCTAGAGCTTTGTGGAATGATTATAAACTTTATAAAGATAAACCTTTGATTCCACTTTGAAATTCTGCTACAGGATGCCAAAGTTACAATAAAGTTGCAAATATTTCAAAACCAAAGACCTATAAAGCCATTTGGATCATTCAGTTCTAGAAAAAAATGTTGGTGGTGTTGGGCAATTGATAAATGGGCATTGCTGCTGCAGTCATGCTAGCTTTCAGAGGGAAAAAAGGAAACCCTCAGAAACTGCTTGGGCTGGAGAGCTAGCTTGAAGTCTGGCTGCTTGCAGATTCCTTGGGTATTTAGAAAACTTCCCGTTTACAATCCCCGAAACATTTGTTAGGAACACTTCATAATGTGAGTGTTTTCCTTGGCACTTCAGCAGGGAGCTTCTTGCTTTCAGCTCACAATTGGAGGGGCTTTGCTAGGAGCAGAAAGAGCTCTCTGTCTGAGCAAGCTGCACTGTCACCAGGAATGACAGTGCAGCAAATCCTCAAGGATGGGTGACCTTCTCTGTGAAGGTTGGTTAGAGGTTCTTGGAAGCAGATGTGGAGGAGAAGGCAAATAAGCAAATCTCACCACTTCTATGTGGTGCTGACACAGTGATCTGCTGTAGTGTCTGTGAAAGAGAAGAAGGTAAACGCGGATGCTCGGCAGGCTAGTGTGGCATGGTGAACGAGGCTCAGGCTTTGGGGCCAGACTGCTACAGTCCCAATTCTAGCCTTTCTGTTTGCAGGCATAGCTGTGGCCAAATGGTAGCATCACTTTATCCCCAGTGACTTTCTGGTAAAAGGATGTGCAAAAGGACTTACCTCAAAGCTTCTTGTGAGGACTAAAACTCTAAGAACAGTCTAGAACTTCTGCTCAAAACAACATTAAGGTGGTTTCAGAAAGGAAAGGAAAACTTAAAGTGAACTTTGTCTGTAAAAGTTTCAGTCAAATTTGCTTTCATGGACTATACCATGCTCCAAATCACAGACATACATGAGCCAATGTACACATGCACACACTAACATACACACTGTCACAAGTACATCCACAAATGCATGCACCCAGGCACAGGCACACATATGTGTATACAGGCATACATATACATACACATACGCACACACATAGACGCATACATAAAAGTACAGACACATGCGTCTACCTATATCTATGCACACACATGTGTACACACACACACACACACACACACACATGTGCATGCAAATATGCAACAAGAACACACAAAAGTCATGCTAATATATTCACTCACTCCTTATTAAAATCCAGAAGTCTTGTGCTCACTTCAGCAGCACAGATACTAAAACTGGAATGATACAAGGAACATTAGCATGGCCTCAGCACAAGAATGACCTGCAAATTCATAAAGCATTCCATATTTTTAAAATCTGAAAGAAGTGGACAAATTTCTTGGTAGATATCACTTACCAAAGTTAAATCAAGATCAGATAAACAATTTAAATAGGCCTAGAATAGCTAAGGGTATAGAAGCAGTCACTAAAAGTCTTCCAATCAAAAAAAAAAAAAAAAGGCCCAGGACCACCTGGTTTTAGTGCAGAATTCTATCAGACCTTCAAAGAAGAGCTAATACCAGTACTCCTCAAATTATTCCACAAAATAGAAGCAGAAGGACCATTGCCAGATTCATATTATGATGCCACAGTCACCCTGATATCAAAACTATGCAAAGACTCAACAAAGAAAATTACAGACCAATTTCCCTCATGAACATGGATACAAAAATACTCAATAAAATACACACAAACTGAATCCAAGAACACATCAAAATGATCATCTATTATGGTCAGGTGGGCTTCATCCTAGAAATGCAAGGATGATTCTATTTAACCCACCATATAAACAAACTGATAGAAAAAAGTCACATGATCATTTCACTAGATGCTAAAAAGGCCTTTAACAAAATCCAATACCCCTTCATGAGAAATGTCTTGGAGAGATCAGGGATACAAGGGACATACCTAAACAGAATAAAGGAAATTTATAGCAAGCTAATAGCCAACATCAAATTAAATGAAGAGAAACTTAAAACAATTCCACTAAAATCAGGAACAAGATAAGGCTCTCAACTCTCTCCACATCTATTCAATACAGTATTTGAAGTTTTAGCTGTAGAAGTAAGACATCTAAAGTAAGACATCTACTTTAAAGTACTAAAGTAGGCCATACAAATTGGAAAGGAAGAAGTCAAAGTATGGCTATTTGCAGATGATCTGATACTATACATAAGTGAACCCAAAAATTCTGCTGGAGAACTCCTACAGTTTATAAACGTCTTCAGAAAAGTAGCTGGATCCAAAATTAACTTTAAAAAGATAGTAACCCTCCTATATACAAACAATAAACGGGCTGAGAGAGAAACCAGAAAGGAAACAACACCCTGCCCAATAGCCACAAATAAATTAAAATGTCTTGGGGCAACTCTAACCAAGCAAGTGAAAGACCTCTAAGACAAGAACTTAAAGTCTTTGAAAAAAGAAATTGGAGAAGATATTAGGAGATGGAAAAATATCCCACGCTCATGCATTGGTAAGATTAGCAAAGTAAAAATGCCAATCTCACCAAAAGCAATCTGCAGATTCTGCAATCCCCATCAAAATTTCATCACAATTCTTTACAGACCTTGAAAGAACAATGCTCAACTTCATATGGGAAAACAAAAAACTCAGGATAGCTAAAACAGTCCTGTACAATAAAAGACCTGGAGGTCTCCCCATCCCTGATTTCACACTGCAACAGCAATAAAAACCACATGGTATTTCGATAAAACAGACAGGTTGATCAATGAATTGAATCAAAGACTCAGATGTAAATCCGCACACCTATGGACAACTGATTTTTGACAAAGAAGCCAATTACTATACAATGGAAAAATCTTCAACAAATGGCGCTGGCCTAATTGGATGTCAGCATGTAGAAGAATTCAAATGGATTCATACCTATCATCCTATACAAAACTCAACTCTAAGTAAAACAGCAATTGCAACATAAAAACAAATATACTGAGCCTGATAGAAGAGAAAGTGGGAAATAGCTTTGAATACAGTGACACAGGAGACAACTTCCTGAATAGAGCCCCAATTGTGCAGGCACTAAGAGTGACAGCTAATAAATGGGACCTCATGAAACTGAAAAGCTTTTGTAAGGTAAATGACACTGCCAAAAGGGCAAAGCGACAGCCCACAGAATGGGAAAAGGTTGTCACCAAATCCACATCTGCTGGAGGGCTGATACCCAAAACATATAAAGAACTCAAGAAACTAGACATAAAAAAACGAAAACAAATAAACCAATCAAAAACTGGGATGCAGATCTAAACAGAGAATTCTCAGCAGAGGAATCTCAAGTGACTGAGAAACTCCTGAAGAAATGCTCATTATCCTTGACCATCAGGGAAATGAAAATTAAAACAACTCTGAGATTCAGTCTTACATCTGTCAGACTGGCTGAACCACAAATGACAGCTCATGCTGGAGAGGATGTGGAGCAAAGGGAACACTGCTCCATTGCTGGTGGGAGTGTAAACTTGTACAGCCACATTGAAGATCAATATGGAGGTTTCTTAGAAAACTGAGAATCAATCTATCACAAGACCCAACTATACTACTCCTGGGCACATACCCAAAGGATGTGCCATCATACACAAGGACATTTGCTCAAATGTGCTTATAGCAACTTTATTAATTGTCTTAGTTAGGGTTCTTATTGCTGCAACAAAACACCATGATCTACGGCAAGTTGGGGGAGGAAAGGGTTTATTTGACTTACATTCCACACTACTGTTCATCACTGAAGGACATCAAGGACAGGAACTCAAAACAGGGCAGGAACTCAAACAACTCCTGGAGGCCAGGAGATGGTGCAGAAGTCATGGAGGGGTGCTGCTTCCCTGGCTTGCTTTCCCCTGGATTGCTCAGCCTGCTTTCTTATAGAATGCAGAGCCACCATACCAGGGATGGCATCACCTACCATGGGCTGGGCTCTCCCCTCATTGATCACTAATTTATAAAATACCTTATAGCTATATCTCATGAAAGCATTTCCTCAACTGAGGTTGTTTTCCTCTCTGATAACTATAGTTTGTGCCATGTTCACACACAAACCCAGCCAGTACATCTATAATAGCCAGAAGTTGGGAACAACCTGTATGTCTCTCAACTGCAAAATGGATAAAGAAATGTAGTACGTTTACACAACTTACTGTTACTCAGCTGTTAAAAACAATGGCATCATGAAATTTGCTGGAAAATGGATGGAACCAGAAAAGATCATCCTGAGTGAGGTAACCCAGATCCTGAATGACAAAAAGGTACGTATTCACTTATAAGTGGATATTAGCTGTGAAATAGAGAGTCATCATATAATTCACAGCCCCCAGAAAAGCTAAGTAACAAGGAAGCCTCAAGCAGAGGGATGCTTCTCACAGGGAAGGGAAATACAATAGGCATTGGAGTGTATGGGGCATGGAGGGGTGGAGGTCTGGAATGGGGTGGTGTAGGAACAGGAACAATAGAGATTAGGTGTGGGAATGATGGAAGGAGAGAGTACTGGGAGAGACAACTGGAATCTGGGGGTTTCTCTTGAAGGAGCTAGAAACCTACTGCATTGGAAACTCCCAGGAATCTATGAGGGTGACCTTAGCTAAGACTTCTAGCAATAGGGGATATGGAACCTGAACTGGCCATCTCCTGTAACCAAGCAAGACTTTCAGGGAAGGGCCTGGGACACTCACTAACCAAGCCACAAACCCTTTGACTTACAGTTTGTCCTGTCTATAAGATGTGCTGGGATAAAGATGGTGCAGAAATTGTGTGTGTGACCAATAATGACTGCCACAGCTGGAGACCCTTGCCCTAAGAGGGAGCTCACCCCTGAGGGCTAGGACCCATTGGTGGGATATCCCAGAGACCTAGGATAGAATCAAAGAGGACTGGCAAAAAAAGTCAATGAAATAATTCATAATGATAGTCTGCTATACTCATAGATTGGTGCCTAGCCCAATTGTCATCAGAGAGGCTTCATCCAACAACTGATAGACACAGATGCAGAGCCACACAGCCCAGCATTAGGCTGAGCTTATGAAATCCCGCTGAAGAGAGGGAGAAAGGATGGTAGGGGCCAGAGGTGTCAAGGACACCAAAAGAAAACCCACAGAATCAACTAACCTGGACTCATAGGGGCTCCCAGAGACTGAACTGACAACCAGGAAGCCTGCATGGGACTGACCTAGGCCCTCTGCATACATGTGACAGTTGTGTAGCTTGGTCTCCTTGTGAGACTCCTAACAGTAGAAGAAGAGGCTGTCTCTGACTCTGTTGCCTGCTTTTGAGACCCTTTCCTCCTACTGGATTGTCTCATCCAGCCTTAATAAACAAATAGGTGCCTAGTCTCACTGCAACTTGATATACTATGGTTAGCTGATATTCATGGGAGGCCTGCCTGTAGCTAAAGAGAAACAAAGGATAGGTGTATGTGGGGGGTGTGAGGAGAGGAGGGAGGGGAAACTTTGGTTGGGATGTAAAAACAAAAAAATAAACAGCAAATCTGTATGTCTTCTAAGAAGGTTTGTAGGGATGTCTCCCCCCCCAAAATCATTTGAATGCCCAAGTTACAGTTTCATTTATGAGAAACATGGACTGTCTTCAGCCTTCCATGAAAATACTAAATTTTATCCTCCAGGGATGTACATCCTGCAAAGAAGCAGCTTCAGTGACAGCCTGGCTGCTGCCTGGTGCTCCCATTCAGATGGGTCCTGCTTATTTTATTTGGAGGGGTGACGATACTTTCATACATCTACCTCAGGAATTAAATTATTATTTGTGGGAAAATAGATGAGCCTGGAAATTACAATGCTAAGTAGATATAGATTCTGAAAGGTAAATGTCACTGTTCTTATATGTGAAATATATACACACATGTATTTGTGTGTATGAGAGAGAGAGGGGAAAGAGAGAGAGAGAGAGTAAGAGATGTGGGAGAGAAAGAAGATGAGAGGGAGAAGGAAAGGGCCTAAAGGGAGAGAGAATAGGACAAAAGAGGATAACGGAGGAAAGAATGACAAAATAGCCCAGGTTTTCTAGCAGATGGGAAATCTACATTTAGTAACATGTACCTATATAAGATATATATGACACACACATATATGAAAATAGGTGAGCCTGGAAATTACCATGCTAAGATTCTGAAAGATAAATGTCACTGTTCTTATATGTGAAATATATACACACATGTATTTGTGTGTGTGTGTGTGTGTGTGTGTGTGTGTGTGTGTGTGATGTAAAGGCAGAAGGGGACTAGTGAGAGAAGACTGAAGGGAGAAAGTGACATGGACAAAGATAAACAAAATACAATTAATGTGTGTGTAA